AGAAAGAGGCTTTTTGTCTTGTATGTGGTCATCATCTACCAAAACAGTGTCCTGGCTTATGACTAAGGCTCCTACCTCTGTGATGCTAGACTGGGCATTTTGCTACCATGAGCACTTAAAGAAGACAACAATGAAACTTAAGACATGCAACAACCTCTTAACAAGCTGGCTGGGTCATTGTGAAGTGCAAGAGGCTCAATGCTAAGGATGTCAGCTCTTGCCATGTCATGCTCTGTGGCAAAATACTGTTGAGCCATGACTATACTTAAATCATTTCAAAATTAAAAATAAAATGTTATGCTTACTGCTTATACGATTCAATAATAATTTATTTATTTTAGGTTGCTTCCTTAACATGAGTAAGAACTATTTTTAATATTTTAAAGGTCATGTTTATTAGCTTTATAAATTAGCATACTTTATAGATCATAAGATTCAAAAGAAAATGTTAGAACATAACATACAGACCTCTTAAAGGTTATGAGATTCCACTGTATTTAATGTTTAATGTATAGGCTGTTTGTGGTATGAATGTGGTATGTATGGAACAGGAAAAAAAAAAAAAGAAACCACACCTACAACAGGCAGTCCACCTGAAGTCAACGGCTGAAGCTGCATACAAATAAGGCCAAGGTGAAGAAATCCACCCACGACATCCGCTCAAATCAAGGTGACAGCCAACATGGACAACTGATGTAAGGGAACAGCTAACCAGCAGGGAATGTTTGGAATAAGTATGGAATAAGTGAGATGAAGAAAGTCCTTGGGTGATCATTCTGGAAGACTGGGGTCTCGGTATGTGTGTCCGACAAATGCTTGACTCATTCTCTTGTTGCACTTGATTTGGCTGGCCACCGAATCAATTCGAGCAACTGAACTTGGTAACATCTTAATGTCTGCAGAAAAACTTTTGCTGCTATAGTGTGTGTTTACTTGTATGTGTGTGTATGAATGTATATATTAATATGTGTATATAAGTATAGTAATTCAAGCAATAAGAATATAACGGCTTAATAGTTTGTGTTATCAGTAAACACGGCATATTGCCTTGTCCCCCTGAAAAAGATTCTGCTTATTTTTCTTTATAAAGTATACACCAGTCTGCAACCAGGCATCACACACCAAACTCGTTGATGTGCAGCTACATTCAGTGATGTGCCTCATCTCAGGAACTCTTCGATCAACCCATGTACCATGGCTCCCACTCCTGAGCAACATTGTTTCCCCACATATCCAATGGGAAGTTGCAACTAGGAAGCTACTGGAGAAGATCCATGCCAATCCAAGCCTGCCACTGTACAAGAATCTCTTAAATCCACCTGCTACACGTCTACCATCATGACACACACTGTGGTCCAAACTGCTCCACCACGACTGCATGGAGGAGACCCTTTGGTGTGCAGAATGAAATTCGACATTACCACCAAACAAGTTCCTTGACAGATCTGACAGTCTGCCCACGTGGCTTCAACTTGCCACACTGTCAGTGGTTCCAGACAGGGCAACCTGTATGCAGCCACCCTCCACTGTTTGAGTCTTCACAACAATCCAGACTGTAGTCTTGGCAAAATACACATCATGTGTGTATACTCATTACAGCACATGCATATCGTCAGTGCTGCCCACTGCCGATGATCTCATGAGGTCCCTTCCAGTCCTAGACTTCTGTGTGACTGTGTGAGACTAAATTCAGTGGCGGATTACAGGAACTGCACATGGCCACTGAGGATGCTACACGCTGACTAACTGACTAAGGCTCCTATGTGCTATCATCATCACAATAACTTTAATAATAATAAATGGTGACAAGGGAAGAGAACAAAAAAAATCAATGTATTTGTAAGAGGAAATTAAGAAAAGTAAAATCCTGTTCTCAGGCTCTAAGTGATTGTAATTATAAACATCTTGAATCTGTCCAGCAAGTTGAATCTCAAAAGATTCCACTACACTACAGACTGGCCTTGAACCCACCCCTGCCACCCCTTCCCCCATAGACTTCAGTGGGTGTGAGTCTAACTTCCAGGTAGGCTTCAAGGAGTGGCTGGGAGGGATGTTAGACCAGCTTTTGGGCATGAAGTGCCCTTCCAACACTCTAATCATAGGTATGCTTCAGCCACCTAGGGTGTCACTCTCTTCATAGAGTCATTCCATTGAAGTCACAGGGATTGCTCACAATGTGCAACAGTAAGTGTGCATACAAGTCTTTGTAGGATTGGGATCTACGAGGACTGTACTGTAAGAGAGAAGGAACTTGTTTCTACATTTTTAGCATCTTATGGATAGCCCATTTACTTCTCCTATAAAATTAGTCGTGTATTAGGTTTTTTCCAGCAAGGAAAAATACCCAGTTCTTTAAAATATGAGAACGATCTTTTCTGGAGTGATTAATTTTTTAATGTTAAAGAAAACGATCTTTTTTTTTCATTGTTTTTGAAACATTCTCAACTTGTATGATTTTATCTTAAGTCTCGTGATTGCCAGAGTTTTTCATATAGCTCCAGCTGGGTGAGTCATGTGATTACATGAAACTATCAGCTTTCATTTTAGAATCCAGTATGTTACTAGCTATCTTAGTTACAAAGGAAACCTTGGAAATATGAACCCTAGCCACAAGGCGCTTCAAGCTTCCTTTTTTTTTTTTAACCTCATTATTTTGGGGAGAGGGGTCTGCTCCAGTTTTGGACACTTGGCTTGAGTTGTGGCCCACTTCATGTGCTTAGCTACCTGACTTTAGTAATAAGAGTAATTCCACTGATTTCCCGACATTAATTAACTCCAGCAACATCATAGCACATGCATAAGTGTGTGCAGATCTGAGGCTTCGCCCCGCTACTGGCAATCATTATCTCAGTATAATGCCTACACGTCAGTTTTATGCCTGGGCTGCTACATTTTGGGGGCAGTTTTGCATACTTGTGGTTCACATTAGCATTTGAGGCAGGAGAAAGAGAGTGAGAGATGGGAGATGAAGAGATTAAACCATGAAGTTTGGATGTGAATTCAAACTGTCCTTTTTTCCAAGGGGGAACAGAGAGGGCAATGACTAAACCAGTGTTTCTCAACCTGTGGGTTGCCACCCAAATATATGAAAGAATATACGAAAGTGTTGTGAACAAACTTAAAAAATGGATTTTTAAGGGGAAAAAAAAGTGGGAAACTGTGGCTTTTCCCTTGTAGGCTGGCAGAGTTCCAGTTTGCAAGAGGCTGCTTGGGGCCCCCCCTGCCCTACACACTCGGGGGCAGCGGGTCAGGAGTGAGGGGCACTGGGTCAGGACTGTCCATTTATGTTTACAAATGGGTCCTGGTACACAGTGCCATACCTAGACCAGCGTTTCCCAACCAGTGTGCCGCAGCTTAAAAGTGTGCCATCAGAGATGAACAGGCGTGCTGCAGAATTTTGCCATGGCAATGAGCTAAAATAGGTATGAGGATGGGGAAGGCTTTAACTGGTGTGCCACGGAAAATGTAATTATTAATGTGTTTACACAGTTTATTAATGTAAGTGTGCCTTGGGCTGGACAAGGTTGGGAAACACTGACCTAGACTCCTGGCAGCCCCAGGCAAACTTTTAGTATGGGGCCCCCCTTTGCTAGTGATAATGATTTTTTTGTTGCAAAAGTCTTTATCACATCTGTGGTACCAACGTCTTTACATAGTTTGTTCTCAATTGATAATATTGCCAGTCCCATATATGCACAATACAGGTTTCCCTTATTTTATGCAGGTTCTGTACATGCCAATTCACTCTTATGCAATGACCCTTTTTATACCGAAAATTCGTTATATGTGAGGTAAGTTCACTCTTATGTGATCGGTGTGGTGGGACCACCATTTTGTGCAGTGCATTGTGGGAGTGACCCATGCCAAAATATAGTCTCGTGTGTGGATCTGTGCTTCTGGCTTGTTGTCTGCAACGCTTTTCTATTGCTGCCATCCCCATTATGACAGTGCCCTGTGTAGCTGTTTGTGAGTACCAAAATTGTCTTGTAAAAGTGGTAGGAATCGGTCTGGGGGTGAGTACAGTCGAGGTCTTGGAACACAGTGGTGACCCGTAGGGGGTGCACATGCACCCCGACAGTGCTGGTGGTCCCCCTGACAGCCACGCTCACCACTTTGGCAATGGGCAGGGCACCAGGTGAGAGCGCTGGTGCCCCCCTGAGAGTGCCGGGGAGGGAGCAGGGCCGCTAGGTGAAGCAGCTGCACTTCCAGGCGGTGCAGGAGCACTGGCTGGGGAGCAGGTCCGCCAGCAGAAGCAGCCATGGCCACTTCCCCTGTCGGTGAGATCTAGTCCCTGGCTGGTTGCTGGGGGAGATGGGACATGCCCCCTCTGACTCAAGCAGCACCAGTCACCCCTGTTGGAACATATCCCTATTTGTTACATTGTAAAGTGGGTTCCCTTTATGCGAATTCGGGGTACATGCAGTTTCCCAGGAACACACGTAGAGCATAAATCAAGGGAAACCTGTATTAAAACTTTTTTTTTGCAATTATATATATATATATATATATATATATATGTATGTATTCATTTTCGCGCCTTTCCCCCCTTTCTATCCGGGCTCCAGGCAGCTGCTGGGTTCACCCATGCCTACATCCAGGTGTGCCGGTACAAAAGAAGTCGAGACCCCCTTTATTAGGCCGCCCCATATAGCCAGCCCCCTTGCGCGGCTTCTCCAGCCAGCAAGAAGGGCCGTGGGTAGCCCTGCAAGCGCACCCTTTGGAGGCAGGAGGAGGAGCCTGCCTCCCGCGGCCAGGGAAGGGGCGCGGGTGAAGAGGAGGCCGGCCGGGAGGCGTGGCCCGGGCCGGGCAGCCTTCCTCCCGCCCTGCCTTTGAGTCCCGGGCACGCTGCGGGCTGCGGCGGAGCGATTGTTCGGAGCGGAACGCGGGGAGCGCGGCGGGCGCTCGGATTGGCGGGCGGGACAAAGGCTGGAACGTCCGGAGCGGCCGCGTTCCACGGGCGGGGGCGGGGGCGCTCCCCGCAGGCGGAGGCAGCAGGGCCGGCGGCCCCTGCGGAGCAAGGGCGGAGAGGAGGCGGCGGCCGCGGGGAGACGCGGGGGGCCGGAAACATGAATCGGAGTTTTAACAAGTCTCAGACTCTGCGCTCCCCCGATTGCAGCGCGGTGGAAGTGAAAAGTAAGGTGAGGAGATCGGGGGGCGAGCTCGGCTGGGGACGCAGCAGCTCCTTCTTCCTTCCTTCCTCCCCCTCCTTACCAATGAATGGAGGACCCCCCCCAGCTTTTTTTTTTTTTTTTTTTTCGGTCGTTGTTTCTCCTGATGGAAAGTCTGTCCCGAGTTGTCGCACAGGGGATCGCGGGTGGCAGCTGCTCTCCTTCGGTCCTGGGCGGAGTGGGGGATGCTGCCTACCCCACCCCCTGCATCCGTGGGCAGAGCTGCTTTCCCGAGTATCTAGGGCGCCTGGACGTTGTCGGTCCAGTTTTGCAGGCAGGGCAGGTTTGTGCTGTGTGGGCAGCACGCTGGCGGCCAGGGGCTGTTGACACAAAAGGAGGCACAAAAGCCGACGGTTTGAGGGGCTAGAAGCCCACTAGGCTCTATCACAGCCGGATTCATCCTGAAGGGAAAGGGGGTAAAGGGGGTGGGCTGGGCTGTGGGGCTGGGGGTGCAATGCTGCAGCTTTCCACTCCGCTCCCTTTCAAGTCGATCTCTTGTTGCAGCGGCTTGGATCCAGAGTGAGCAGGAAAAAAGTTTGCCAGCTTTTATGTAAACCGGCCATTGTTTGGCTGCGCACAGCCGCTCAGAAGTTGAGTGTGGACTTCGGGGAATGCCCGCAAGGTAGCTGTGGCTGGCCTGACAAGACAGACAGACAGACACAAGCACGCACACATAGTGAGAGAGCGAGACACACGCACATACTGAAAGAGAGCAAGACAGATAAACACACATGCACACGCACACACAGTGAGAGAGAGCGAGACGCACGCACACGCAATGAGAGCGAGGTGCGCACATACACACGGACACGCACACACACACACACAGAGTGAGAGAGCAAGATGTGTGCACACAGAGGGAGACGCACATACAGAGCGAGACGCACACAGAAAGTGAGAGAGAGCAAGAGAGACAGTGAGAGTGAGGCACGTGCACACGCGCGCGCACACACGCACACAGACTGAGTGTGAGCCAGACACACACTCTCAGACTGAGAACGAGAGAATGAGACACATACAGACAGTGAGAGAGAGTGAGACGCGCGCACACACGCACAGCAAGACACACAAGCACACAGAGCGAGTGAGACGCACACAGTGAGAGAGCGAGACACACACAGCGAGACGCGCACAGGCTGAGAGTGCGTGAGGCACACGCACGTGGTGTGTGTGAGACTTGCGTGCACACACACATTGAGAGAGAGAGAGTGACACTGAGAGACTCATGCAGAGTGAGGCACACAGCGAAACATACAGTGAGAGACACACACACACAGAGTGAGACGCTCACAGACCCAGAGAAACATGCTCACAGACACAGATGTGCGCACACACACAGAGACATGCACACACAGAGAGAGAGAGAGAGATGTGACAGACAGAGAGAGAGAGATACATACACAGGGACACACAGAGGCACGGACACGCACAGAGCAAGAGAAAGACGCACACATACAGAGACACGTACACAGACTTTTTATAGGAAACTCATCAAAATTACCTCGGATCCCTTTTATCTTGAGCGGGTCTAGCAGCGGCTGCCCCTCTGCTCTTCCAATTTTTCAGGCTCCTTTAAGCAAGCTCAGCCTGAGTCAGTGCTGTCATGTTTGCTTCACGTCTTCAGCCGTGCAGTCATGTTTAAACTTGTTTGGGTTTCTGTGATCACCTGATTATCTGGTGATTTTTTCCCCCCCCCCTTTCTTTCTTTTTCCCTTTGTTGGGGGGAAAAAAAGTTCATCTCCTAAGAAGCTGCACGTTGTCCTCTGGAGCTTCTTTTGGAGAGATGAGACTCTTGCTATGTGCATCCTGATCTGCTCTACCCCCCCAATCCCCTCTAGCTTGATGGCTTTCTGAAGGGCCCCCTAGGGAATGTTGAACTTGAGCAAGCCTGCCTGCCTGCCTTGGACCAAGGCAGCCAATGACAGGGCTGGTGTTTGTAATGAGAAGTAAATTACATCCATCTTAAATATATACTGAGACATGAGGCAGAATTCCAGCTGCTTCCAGTTCCCAAGTAAGAGTAAACTAAAAAAGCCAGAAGAAATAAATAAAAATCCATGGAATGAGTTGAAGAGCAAGATCCTGAACCATTGCAAGTAATTCTGCCGTCTCTCCAGCTGTAGTTGAGAACCTTTACTGCAGAACAGTAGAAAACTGTCAAAGTACTTGGCATACGGGCCCAGGTCCTCAAGAGGTATTTTAGGTACCTAACGCCTGTTGATTTCAGTTTGGTGCCGAAATCACTGAGAATCGAGGCTAAAGAGGACTAGGGTTTCTTCCCAGTCTTGCCACTGCCCTGCCGTGTGACTTTGGTCAGATCACTTAACCTCACTACCTTCATTTCACCATGTGTCTGATGTCGTAAATTCCTGCGCGGTAGAGTACAGGCAGTCCTCAACTTACAATGCTTCGAGTTATGTTTCACACTTACAAAGTTTAAAAATTGACACCGTTTCAACTTCATGATATCAGTTTCGACTTTACAACGCTTGATCCAATGCAACACCGTGCTAGCGAACAAGTCTGCTGTGTCTCATCTTCCTGGAGAACATCTGTCCGAACTTCCTTGGATATTTGTTTTAAGAAAGCAGCCAAGACTCCAGAAAAACCTGTAGCCAAGACTCCTGAGAAGACACCAGCTTCAAAAAGTCCAACCAGGAGCCCTTCAAAAAGTCCAGCAAAGTCACCTCAAAGAAGTCCTTCCAAATCAATATGATTGCTATTTACAATATAAATACATTCATGTAGCTATATTACTCATCTATAACTGATTGAGTACAAAATTCTGGGGTATTTTTAGTGAAAATATGGTATCAGGCCTTGGTTCAGGAACCAATCCCCCATTTATAACATTGTTTCTTAAGAGAAAATTGGTTCTGAGTTGCAACGTTTTGACTTAAGACGTGGTTTTCAGGAACCAATCGTGTCGAAAGTCCAAGGACTGCCTGTACTGTAATGGACAACAGGAATATGTTGCAGTTGTTGCCCTGTAGCTAAGCTTGATGTGGCTCTCCGGTTTTTTAAATCCTGTTTTCGGTTGCCTGTCTTAGAAAATCCCTTTGGGCTGAAATTCTTACCATTTAGTATCAGCAAGAAGAGACAAGTTAGTGCTGCTGTTTGATCAAATCCACCTAGCCCTCTGAGTGGAACAATAAGTCCTACACTTAAGCATTGAATATCATGGCTTTTTAAAGTCTAGCAGCATGGTTGAAAAACTTCGTAGCTACTTCAGTGGGGATTAAACACAAGGTGGGGTTGGGGGGGGGAAGAATAAAATAAATGCCTTCTGAAATAGCGCACAGCATTCCAGAATCACTCAGAAGCCTTGTAAATGGGTTAATTTGGTAGAGCACCCAGGCTTATAGTCTGCTCTCCATCTCCCATGACTGCTGTTAATGGAGCTGTTCGATTCAATTCATTCAGCATGTACCTTTTCCCTTGAGAGAGTCATTCAGATTTTGTGCAGTCTGTGGGCCTGGATTCAGCAGAATGGTTACCATATGTGCTGGTTCTTTGGGACTTTTTCAAGGTGGTATCCAAAATGTAGCTTTGGAGCGCCTATTTCCTGCCTGGATGGTGGTATTGTAGGGTTAATGGAGTTTTTAGAGCCTTCTGGCTGCTTCTTACTTGGGCAGTCCACTTAAATTTTTGTGTATAATAGAACCAGAGTGCTTTGTACGCTCAGTACGCATCTCAAAAAATCCTCCAGCACGCGCACACAGTCCAGTCAGCTTGCTGTATACCCAGTGCACTTGATCTGCATTTTCAGGTCCCTGCACTGTCAAAACACATGCCTAAATTCTGCAGATCATTTGAAGTAAAACTCCAAGGGTGCTTGTACACAAGCGATTGATTGAGTCTGCTGGAGAGCCTCATGTATCTCTTGTATCAGTGTCCCTGCATTTCAAAATGGTAGTGGGGGTGCTTGACTAGTTCAGGCGCCTCTGCCGCTGTTTTGAAGCATGGGATGCTGAATACACAAGATGCTGTGGCACTTTTAGTAAGAGTGGCTCTCAGAGCCACTCTAATTAAAGTACCATCCTCCTCATCTCTGGCGCACATTTAAAAGTGCCCTAATTCTCCACTTCATATTGCATTAACATGGCTTCATGTTTAATTTTATAGCTCTTCCCACCTGTAGAAATGTAAATGTTCATGTGTGACTTGATTTATGGGGACACGGAGATAGTTTGGGGAGAGAGGGAGTACTGGAAGGTCTTCCTTCTCTGAGACAGGGTCAGGGTGTCACTGCTGATGTCAGGAGGTGATCTTTAAGCCAAGAAAATGCATATAAAAATGGCACTTCATTTCATTTTAAGGTGGCATCTTTAAATACTGCAGATAATATATTGAGGTATCCGACAGTGATTCTGAACTATTACGCAGTGCATCTAGGTCAGTATAACAGTGGGAACTTTAACTCTTTGAATTTTACAACTATGTGTTTCTAGATTAAATGTTAATTATGTAGCAAGTTCTGTCAAGTCGCTGAGGGTACTGAATTCAGTGCTGCATCTATCCCTTTCTGTTACACAGTCTACAAAGTTTACATGTCTGCTAACAACTAATATTCGTACTTAGGGCATAGCTGGTCAACCAGAGTCAGGAAGAAACTGTTTTAATTGTATAATAATGCTACCTTTTGTGAGTTATGCTGTATCTATGTTATTCCTTTCACTGGAGCACTGATGCCCCATTGCTAGACATGGGATAGATACCAAACTAGATGAGTCCTGGTGCATTTTGGTGTGTTGGTTCCTCTGACCTGACTAGCAAAGCCGCTTCCCAGCCAAAAAAGTGTGTGTGTATTTGTATTTGGCTAAAAAATGCAGGAATATCCTCCTCTAGTCAGTAACAGTGTTCCTGGCAGCTGTACGCTATCAGCCTTTTAAGCATTTACGATCCAATCACCTCTTTGAAATGGGGAATCCTGTCCAAACCTGTGTGAGAACTAAAAAGTTGAATATGAG